TTAATCCTTCAGATTAAAACTGTGCATATCAAAATCAATGCATTTAAATAGAACGTAAACTGGTGTATGCACAGAAAACAGAATAGTGATGAGGATGTAATTACAAATTTTGCATCAGTGGAGCATCACATCACTCCTTATTACATTTGAAATGCTATTATTTAATATGCTATGAGATATGACAGTTATTATAGTCAAAACGTAGTCAAATGCAAAGAGTGCAGGTGGTAAAAATGTTGTCTCCGAATAGCAGTCGGCTGGCAAACTAGTGGAAGATGCAAATGAATTTTGATTAATTTAAAAAGTCATTAAAATTCTATATAGTGTTATACGATGTATGCATTATTCGTTATACAGTGAAAAGTGTTGGGGAACCACTTTCAATATGTGATGTACAGTATAGGAATCACATGTGCAGGAATCACATGCGAGGCTATCAAAAACTAACAGCATAATTCGTACTGCTTGTCCAAAGTTAAAAAAAAACAGGAATTCAGAAACGGTGTTTCTGGCGCAAGTTTGGCCAATTTCTAACTTTTTACTGTTGATGATCTGAATCCCTGGGGATGAATAAAGTATTTTGAATTGAATTGAAAACAACATTGTAAATGTTCAATTAAAGTTCCAGTAAGGTTACTCCACCAACACAATAAAAAGGACATGGATAACCACGTTTTTTTTTTTTAAACTTAAATATATGTTCAATAATTTTTTGTGAAAATAAAACTGTTTTCACATATTTCTGAGGTCTACAGTCGTGAGACAGCAATAGTTTCCAATGTTGCTTTGCAGTTGTGTTATGAACTGCTGTACCTAGGACAACTTACTGTACATAGTGCCCCTTAAAAAACAAATCCTAGTTCTTTTTAATGTTTCCGAATTTGCTTGAGTAAAATATATAATTCAACAATGGTCTTGTACTACTAGAAGTTGCTAATTCTAGTATTTTTAAATATGTTGCTCTAAAGAAGGATCGCATCTTCAAACTTCCATTGATTCGTATCACAACGAGAAACTAATCCTTAAGATTGAAAAAATATGGACACAGCTACGAAGCATTAAGATCGTTAAAGCCTTTTTTAAGAACATGCAACTGTTCGCTAATGTTCGTTTTCTAAGGCTAAACCCACAACTCTTGTGATTACGGCATGGGATTGGAGACAAACTTTATTTTCCTGTTCACACAAACGCACAGAAAATACTGAAATACTGGTATTAATTAAAAAAAAAAAACCGCCGCCCCCTGGAAACAGAGAAACAAAATTGCAGATATACTTATCCTTGCAGCAGCAATAGTGTGCTTCAGTTTTCTCACGGGGATACTAGCGGTCAATGTCGCTGTAGAGAGTCGCATTATTGCCCGAAAAAGAAGGAACGAAAGCGGCTGGAAAGCAATTTTTAACAGCACAAACCGGCTCAAACGAATCAGAGCGGTTTGGTTCTCCTGCGACGTTGCAGGTGGGCAGTGCGACGTCACGACCCCATGGAAATAAGGCGTTACTGTATATCTCGGAAACGAAAGCAGCACAAAAGCTACTTTCAGCGAATGTGATGTTATTCATCGTTTGAGCCGTTTATGGGAGGGGGGCAACTTCAGACTGCTCTGCCACTCCTCCTACCTTCAGTGTATTTAAATCCACAGACACAAACCGGATAAGATGGCGTAATTTGGTTATGAGCACCGACTCTTTGCTGCCACGCTAGACATTGTTCGAAAGACGCACGACCTCTGAAATATTACTTTAATCTCTCGCCTGTTGGTTTAAGGAAACTGTCTATTGGCAGAATCACACTGAGGGCCTGAGGCTCTTGAAATCTGCCTCCAGTGCCTTGCAGTGATGTTCACACGTTTGAAAAGTCGAACCGCTCAGCCAGTTTAGAGTGGGAGACAGCAAGAAAGCCTTGAGAGATGAGGCACAATTTCTAGCAGGTAACGCAAGTTCTATCACCACTCCACAGCAAGCAAACTGCCCCCTTCACAGTCTTTCAGTGCTGTTGAGCACACTTCAGTGGTACTAGTTTCTGTAGATCTTAACGTGAAAGTCTTCACTAGAGTCCTCAGCAGTGCCAAAGAAAAATTGCACTGTTTCTCTTGCAAGAGAAACACCTGTAACGACTCCTGTAACTTCCGCATGTCTCAGTCTCTCTCCTGAAAGTAATCCAAGTCAGCCTGGCCTTTATTTTAAGGGATGTTAGGGATGAATGGAACTTCTTTGAGTGTCTACCCTTGCACCAGATGATAGCAGGGCTTGCTTATTCATTTCTTGTTTCACAGCACTTATTGCTGCCTGGTTTGTGTTCTTGGTCTTGAAGCTGCTGGTCTTTCTTTGGCCATGGTTGAGGGCAACAGGACATCTCACTGTCCAGTACTGGCTGCATGCAGAAAAACATCATCTGACATGAGGTGATGCATGCCCTGGGCTTCATCCATGAGCACAACCGGGTGACAGAGGCAGCTACAGTACATCAAGGTCCTGTGGGATAATATCACGCCAGGTGTGGAGCACTTACTGTCAGGGGTCAGTTACACAGATGTATGAAGTTGATAGGAGCCTTAAATACACAGTCATTCACTTTCAATAACCACCTTTCCAATTCAGAGTCACAGTGGCCCCAGAGCCTAACCTAGGAAGGACTGGCTCAGGGTGAGATACTAACTGGATGGGACACCAGTCCACTTCAGAAGCATTAAATACATTTTGGCAAATAAGATTTTAAGGATCTAATTTTACCTGAGAAGAAAAATAGGCATTTACCAAAAGGAATACCATGTCATAACTTATATTTTATATGCAATATCCATATAATCACAAACAGGGCAACACTGTAACAGCTGCGGATACAATCCACGTTCGGCATAACTCATTTTGTCTGCTCAAGTTAAAACTTCTGAATCCCGAATGAAGCAAATTGACCTGCTCTCTTATACAGGAGACAGTCAAGACATGTCTGGTGCAGCATTTGTTTTTTGGTGAAAATTACGTTACGACGTTGAACGAGAATAAATCTGCTCGGACACCGTGTGAAGATTCCTTGTTTTGTAATAAGTTTATTGTTAACAATGTAGAAATCAGACACCATTAATTATACCTGTACTTGAAATGCATCGGTAGTCTTAGACAACACAAGATGTTACAGGGGTACGGAAACACTTAGTATAGAATGGCTAAAGGAAAACTGTATTTCATGCTCGTATTGAAAAATTCATCTCTGCAGTGTAGAAGAAAGAAAGACTGCAATAAGTAGCATAAATTGCTCTAGTTATTGCTTATTTTCCAGTGGTAGGTCTATCTAGCCAGTCAGAGTAAAGTTTAGACCTAATGTCTTTCAACAACATTAACAGCTTTGAAGAAGAGTTTTTGTTTGAAAAAATCCTTTTACTTTTTTTAAAAGTACACTCAGTCCTCACTGAGTGCTGTTCTGCCTAGTACAATTGAAGTGATAGACTGTTGATTGCAGCATTGTATTAGAAACAACGTGTTACGTGTTTTTGAACAAAAGCAACAGCCTGAAAAAATGAGAGAAAACCTCATTAATAAAACAAGATCTATGAATATTCCAGGACAGGCTATAGTGTCTTACTTTATAAAAATACACATCAAAGCTCACTGAGTATTCCCTAATGTTGCTGATACATTGTAAAATATTGGAAACTGAAATAGAGTAAATCAGCATAATTATGCCAGATAAAAAGAGAACACCTTCATAAATGTAAATGGAACAAGATAATTCTAATACTATATCCAGTTGCAGTTACAAAAAAGTATTTTAAAAATACATTTAATACACAAGTGATTTTTTCCCTAATTTTTTCCCTAATTATGTAGATACCAGCTCTTTAAAATACAGTCATGGGCACATCAAATGCAGTGTCTCCATTCCAACATTAATTTCTACTGTAAGTGTTACTTTTGAGCCCCTATTTTCAAAGGCCTATGAGAAGGAAGTAAGTATTTCCCAAATCCTTTAAAACCTTACAGTACAAACAAGCATGATGCATTGGCTCAGATGTAAGTTTGACTTAAAGCCATCAGAGATTTCCTTTGTTAAAACTGACAATGTGATTGAGAAACTGGAAAAACCCTAAAATAAACTTAGGACTCAAAATGGCAAAGATTCTTAAGGTTGTACCTTTTATGGCGCCATTATATAACTATTCCTTATCTTATTATAAGCGAGAGAAATGTTGAAAAGTAGCTCCAAATCTAGTTCAGAGCTGGGATTCTACACGTAGAAGAGGAGGCTATTTGACAGCTTTGAGCTCCAGTTTTCTCTGCAAAAGAAATCCACTTCAAATGCACGTCGATGCTTGTTTATAACATACGTTCGTGTAATGTGTTTGGTTAGATGATGGTTTGTCTCCACATTTCCAACACAAAGAGCACAGACAAGAGCTGCACCAGCAGCCCCAAATCACATTTTAGGTTTCAGCACTCTGGAGAGACCTGGAGACTGCTATTATTACAACAGTCACATTCTGCAGTACGAGATCCATCGTAATAGGAAACTCTTGTTATTACCTTCCAGCAAACACATTGGTAGAGTTGTCAATGGTTTCATTACACAACAATTCCTCCTTCATCAGAACAATGCGAATTGTTGAATCTTAAGGTGCAAGGCATGACTACTCCTGCATTCGTCCATAGCAGGGCCAGGCAATTTAATCAAGCAGTCGGACCTTCGGGAAGTGGAAGGTAGCCAGAGCATCTGGATAAAACCCATGAAAACGCAGCCAGACGATGCAAACTCCACACAGGGGGTGCTCTACTCCAGAGCTCACAGTGCACCCACAGTATGCAAAAATAATACTGCTAAGAGTGGTTCACCTTTACTGTAACAAACTACTAAACCCACTCATAATGTAGATTCCAGTTCTTCTGGCTCATTGCGATTCTAACCAAAACACCTCAGTCGCAAAAAAAAACGACAGCTGTGTCTGCTTATCGCTCAAGCAAATCACACAATATTGTCTCCTAGTGGTAGACAAGTTCTCATTTTAAGTCTCTTCTTTCACTCAGTTCTCCTCAACCATGCATTGATGTGCACCCATGCATTATCGGAAAGTTGCTTACCCTCAAATTGTAAGTCTCATGGTGGCAGGCAGGCAGGGGGCACGCACAGAAACACACAGGGACAATTAATTGGTAGAGACACTAATTGACCCAGCCAGTGTGTCTTTGGAAACTGAAATTCAACCTGATCCCTTAAAGAAAACCCACATGTGTACAGGAGCAACATGGAAACTCCTGGTAAAAATGGCATCCCAGTCTGCAATTGACCCCAGGACCCAAGTGCAAACCCATGTGACTGTGCAGCCGTCTCCCAAAACTACTCACTCCTCTGTAATTCATGCTCATCTCAGCCAAGCGGGGCAGAATGAAGCTAGAATAGATGCCACAGCTGCCTACTTACTGATGCCCCTAAGCCCTTATATTCCAGGAAGAAACACAAATAAAGCATTTGAATGTGCCCTTTTAAGTAAACTATCAAGGGAATATTCTGCATTGTTTATTTTAATTACTTGTTCAATCCTTTTAAATGTCTATAGATTGGTGGAATACTGATAAAATTTCAAAGTATGCTTGTGCTAAGGTAATCAAAGGCCTTTATTTCTGCCATCTTGCTTAATTTCTTCAACCCAAGGTTATTTAGTCCTGTTAAAATTCATACAGCTGTGCCTCGGCTGATAGCCACGTCACCTCCATCAACACCATTACCAACACATCCCAAGGCGCTAACTTCAGATCTACCCTGGCAAGCACAATGGAACCCTTGAAGACTCCTGTGTTTCTAAACCACAATGTACTGGATTATCTATGCGTGGCTTTCTGTGGTTGAACAACTCTGAAATTTGATACATTTAAATTCGACACAATCCCTTATCCTCAGTAGTGCTTTATTTGACTATTTTAAATTCTTTTTACCTTCCCAGTGGCAGAATGTACCAGAAAGAGCTTTGGAATTACTGCCTTGACAAAAATGAATACCTGCACATGTGTTGAGTTGAATTAAAGTGAAAATGAAGTTCTAGAGAATGTACAGACGTTTACCAATTTATGAATTATCTAAAGAGAAGGACATGCCTATTAAAATGTCCTAGATGTTTTTCATGACAAATTCAAAAAAATGAAACAAAAAACTGTATACAGTAAATGCAATATACATCAGCTAACCTGTAAATAATTCCATTAAAGAAAATAACAAATCTAGATATATTTCCCTAAACTAGAAATCTGTTCTTCTCACTATGCACATGAGAGGAAATTTGGTCACACTTTCTGTCAAGGAGACTGGTTTTGCTTGCAGCAGTTTGGAAAAATAAACATCTTGCACGGGCTCTGTAAACATTTTTTTTACATGCTTTTCTGTCACGTTTTTCCTCTCTCCCTCTTCTTGAAATGCAGCGTCGGGCGAGGGGTGCTTTTCAAAAGTTGCTGAAAATTTCGTGCTTCTTGTTCCAGTCCATCTGCGGAGCCCGTTTCTTGGCCCGCTTGGCATGGGCCTTCTCTTTGGCTTCAGCTGCTGTGGGGCTCAGTCTGAGGCCACTCTCTGCAAACGGGTCCTTGTTCCCCTCTTCCTGCTCCTCTACCTGCAAGAAAGAAGAACCAGCACAGAGCTGTGAGAGGGACTCGGGATCACAGATCTGATCTACTGAGTGGGCTCCTTCCCGTTCTCTCATGCCATTTCCTGTCCTGTCGGCCAACTAAGCTCTTCCATCCCACAGTCGATCCGATCTGATTCAACGCACTGCCTTTCACAGAAAAGTTGCATGCAAAATAAATGTTGTTCTATCTGCTTCGATCTAATAGACATACTGTAGATAGAACTACATTTCAAACAAGAAAACAGATCCAAAATGATAAATTTGTACCTGTCCCTGTGCACGGCAATTTCCATGAGGTGATTGGAGTTTGACAACAACTGTACAATCTCAGAACCCAGGTATGCTGACGGACACTATAAGCCAGATATGTAGGATAATAACTCCTTACCTTTAAATACCTAGGGTGGTTCTCCTCGTGCTAATGAATTTCCCACTCCACTGCACTGCGGACTGAGCTCACACGTGCAAACATATAGATCTCCAACACCTGCTTTTTGTCACTCTGTGTTTCTAAAACAGCCATCAATCAGAGTGTCTGTGAAGTAATATGTATAATGTATAGTATGATGAAGCAATATTCACTCTCCTTCTAAAATAAACAACTGAAAGAGTACAAGAAATGGTATTTCACTTGAATAGCTTATTTATTTCCACAGAGGTTTTATTTTAGATTATTTTTGATCTTAAATGGTTTGACTAGAGCTTTTAGAATGGCTGATCTCAGGAGTGAACAGCTTGTTGAATGTGTTCTAGCGTAGTTAAGAGCTTCAGGTCTAGAATAAGCTCCTTTATACTGACAAGTGTGCTCGGTTAATTGTGTATCTGGTACACTATAGTTTCATTTTAAATACAATAAGAATAAGATTAATTCCTTGCTGCAATTTCTTATTTAATGGCTCAAGATGTTTAAAAGAATGAACCAGGTATAGTGGCATGGATTTTTAGAGTATTACCAATGACTGTTAAAGGAAACACTGACTTGTTAAAGGAGAAGAAGCAGTGGGTCATAATTGTAGAAAAAATGCACGAGGTGTCAACTCACCTGCTTTAACTCAGTGGTTCTGTCGGGGCTCTGGAGTTCTGACTGGGAGGAGTCTGCAGTTGAGCTTCCATTTATCTAACCGAAAACATATATGAATGACATATTCTGCGTGCAAACATAAAAGACACTTACTGCTATTACTGTAATATCTGGATGACATTTCATATGCAGATTTAGAAAAAAGTATCACTGAAATAAACAAGAACCTTGATGAGAACCAACTTTATGTAGCTCTCTGCATGAAAATTCCATTTTGCTTTAATTTGTGTTTTCATGCTGAGGAACAGGAAGCTCGGTGTCCTTGTTTATGGTGGAAATATTTCACATTTTTGCAAAACCGGGATTAAAGGGAAAATCAATTTAACTTTAAAAAGCCTTGTGCTTTGTATAGCAAGCTCTTGGAAAGCCCCTGTCAAAATAAACACAAAACAGAACGAAGCAGCTGGCTGTTTGGAACAAACAGTCCGATTCTGCGGCTAACATGCTCCGCTCAGAACAAGGCAAGTCCAGCATCAGTGACAACTTGGGTGGCAAAACTGACTGAAGAGGAACAGCAGGAGCTGCAGCACTTTGTCCCAAAGTATTGCCATTCTGTTTTCTTTGCTCATGTAAGTTTGTTTAGTTAAAAAACACACTTTTTTTCCCCCAAGAATGAAAGATATCTAGAAGTAACATGAGATATTATTACACTAAAAAGGTTCATTTTCAATATTTCAGCACTGTTTGTAACAGAACCAGAGAAGGTTTTAACACTAATTTAGAAAAATAAAACTCATTTATTCAGCACAGCATGCAGTTATGTGGAACACATTTCAGAAATTGTAACATGTTGAACAGCATAATAGTGGTTTTACTTTCTTGGCACAAAAGACAAATCTTAGAATGGTTATTGCTAAAAAATGTTCCAGAGACCATGGTAGTGTGTGAGTAAGTGAGTCATATCTCACTGTAATGATTAAGACACTAACCTGTGGCTTTGGGGATCCATTGGTTATAGGCTGAGACACAAAGCCTAATAAAAACACAGAAAAAAACTGGCATATTATTGCTAATATGCAATATATCTTATAGTTACAGTATTTTACAGCATTTACAGAATTATTTGAGACTAAGACTTTTTAGATCTGTTCATCTATATAAGCACATCATCAAAAAAGTATTCCATCATCTGCACTAAATGTGAGTCATTCCTTCCAATGATTGTAGGTCCTGTATATACCTGCAGTCCGAATTTATGGAACCCTGATTTGGATTGATTATGGTTACCCACAACTAAAGTTAACCACAAAGGAACAATGAGAAACCCTTAACAAGGAAATGATAACAGGAAAGGGTACTATTTATATCTCACACAGAACATATGTATTTAAGAACTTTAAGAACTGGGTTCTTAAAAAAAGCAGTAAAAACAAAGCAACACATTGACTAAATGCATTATTATAATATTTTACAGATATAACATATAGGATGTCACACTTCATCTACCATTGAAGTGCCAGTAGCTTCAGTGCACAGCAGATTAGGTGGAGAAGGGAGAAATTGCTTCACCAATAGAATTGAGGGGGAGCTTTAGAGAAACCAGATTCATGTAGGCAGTGAAATTTAGAAAGAGCAGAGAGTGTTTATATCTCTGCTCTTACAAATAGTGGCAGGGAACGTTAACGTCTCATCCGAAGACAACACCTCTTACAGCAGTGTCTACAGTCACCACAGTAGGGTATTTATCTGGAAATTCTGGTCCAGATGGAGGAGGACACCTTACTTGTCTGCCAACAACACTTACAGCATCAATTAGAAAACGAATAAGTAGTGGACTCCATCTGTATTACTGTGTTGCTGCATCCTTTAGACCTGTATTGGAGTTGAACTGAGACTGGTGAATGCACGTCTAATGAACGTGTGCCCTGCTCTGGCTGAATTCGTGAAATCGAGCTACAGCTTGCAAGTTCAGCGTGCCGCAGTACCTTTCACATGGCTCTCGGTGGGAGTGACGCCCAGCTTCCTGAAATACTCGTCCGTTTCCGCGTCAACCACCAGCAGTCGGGCCTCGGTGCCGCTGGATTTGATGAACGCCACCACTTCGGAGTGCTTCATTCCTTCGATGTTGACATCGTTCACCTGCAAACACAATCCGACACCACTATTCAGCGCCAGCCAAACATTTACCACACTCTGTTGGGAGCCGGTTCAAGTCAGTAACCTCCAAGAGATTTGTCACAACAGGGATTAAATGAAAGCAAACAAAAAGTGTGTCAAATGTTCCAGATGAGGCTGGTTATTAATCTTCATGCATTTTCAAGAGAAAAGACATTAGCTATTTACTACACACTGTCCAAAGTTAATTAAAATTAACTCCATAAATTAATGGGTTCCTTGATTATGTAGATTACGTTCATGAAGTGGTGGAGAATTCTTATTGGAGGGGATCCTTACACTAAAAATACTGCTTAAACTTCAGCTAATATGCAGAAATTCTTAGTGGGTCACATGAAAGAAAATGTAATTAAAATCAAAACGCCAGGAATTGTAATTAAGTGAACCAGAACTGTTTCTCCAAATCATTTCAATCAATGAAAATTCAAGTTATTTTATTTTACAACATTTCAGTACTTTCAATCAGCTAAAAATTAATCGGTCTGTAAACTTGAAATCCTGCTCATTCTTTCTGATTTCCAGTTTTGACATCAGCAGAGAATTTATTTTCTTTCTTAAGTTAGGGGAGAAATGAGAGAGAGAGAGCTCATGTGTTGGAGGAAAGGCTTACCAGTTTCCAGTATAGTTAGGAAGCTTGGGTATAATAAAACTTACAGTAAAGTGTACATGATTTATACAAAAAGAATGGCATAGAAGCACACAAGCTCCTAATAAGTAATGAAGTTTTTAATACTGAGCTGCAAGAAATGCAATCCACATGTGTTCTGTAGGGTTTTACAATACATATTTTAAAACATTTTAAAGTTAAGTCTTAAGCAATTAGCATCAAATTACCATCAGTGAGAAATATCAATCTTAACATAGGGTACACACAGTGCTTTTTTCATAATAAAGCACAAGGATTATAAATTACAATTTGATTACACTTTCTTAAAAATTACAACTGTTATATTTTAGGTTGTGCTGAAACGTTTCCGTTTTTAACTATTTTTCCAAACATCCCGAAAAATCCCAGTTTCTCTTCCAGTACTCCCCATGGCACCTGAAAATACAGCTATCCTAGCCAGTCTCATGAGCACATGCTCCCCTTACCCCAGAACATGCCTGATGAAACAGCTCTTTGTTCTCCTTCTTTCCCAGTGAGGGAACTCTGCTTTCACGGTATTCCCTCTGCTCTGAGTTCCCAAAATCCATCTGTCCAGACCCCTTCCTCACCACATCAAAGCTTAACTGCACTTGACACAGAACAACAATAAAAACAACAGTCCCGTGTTTTGAAACAGAATCTATTTAAACTGTAATTACACACAAGAGAGCTTCCAAATGGGTCTGGTCCACTGATTTTCAAGTAATGTTTCCCTGGTTGGCATAATTTCCTTCTTTTTGCTGTGACTATGTGACATAGCCACACCGTTGTTTGGAAATAAGCCATGATTAACACAAGCACAAAGAGAACATTGGTTAGTAAATGAGACTATACTATTGCCTCAGAAAAGACGCAGGTATACAATTCTTTGTGAAAAGTCCCAAAGCACTTCAGCATCCTCCATGCTGTTACTAAACAGCATGCTGCGGACATTTCAACCACCAGATGGTGATATCACTCCAACAGATTAAAATTGAATTCCCATTCAAGCTGGGAATTTCAGAAGCCAGTTCAAAAGTAGGCTAAAATACCCTCGACATACATTGTCATCAAAAGAATCATAGTGAGAGCAAAAATAAATCTACCTATTTATTTCAATGGTCTTAAGACAGATTTTTAAACAAGGCCCTGAGTTTAACTTCACATAGAATTATACAATTCTGTTGCAAAGTTTTCTGAAATAAACTATTAAATACAATAATTCTGCTTTGCAATAATTCTGCTTTTTTACACTGGCTTAGAAGTGCAAAAAGTTCTGAAACTGTCTTTTGAAGTGATTTCAGCAGAGTCTGACTTGATCATTCTAGCAACATGAAAAACAAAAAGCACGCCCAGGTCATGTTCAGGTTTTTAGGAAGTTACCTGTCTTTTTCACATGGATACCATGAAGCACCAGTAGCTACACGAGGAAGACAAGCAGGTGGTGAAGAGAGAAATTGCTTCACTCTTTGATATCAGGTGGAACTTTAGGGAGGCCAGACTGTTTTAGCACAGCATGGAGTTTAGCTAGTAGACCAGGGTTAACACCTTCCCCTTTTGAAAAGTACCACAGGATCTTTAAATCAGGACTTCTCATTAACAACTCATCTGAAAGATGGCACCTCCCACAGCGCTGCAGTACTGCTTCCCCAGTCACAGCACTGGGAGCACTGGCCTTGGAAACTGTGGTCTAGAGGGAACAGTGCCACCTGCTGGACGACGAGCAGCCGCATTCTAGTTTATACATAAGATCACTTTATTGGTCATATACAGTACATAGGAGGGGTCCCATATCTCCCCCAGCTGCAGTGCTGCACCCAGGTGACGTGTGGCAGACACAGATTGCTCAAGCACAGAGTGGAATTTAGCCTGGGAGTCAGCATCCCTGCCCTTATTGACAGCGCCGCGGCTAACGCTTCCTTCCTTCACCATACCGGAGCATCGCTGCCAACAAAGAAACCTGGGACTCGGCAGGGACAAAGGAGCAGGGTTGTGACGACCTTGGCATTACAGACACAAAGTGGAGGGTGGTGGGTCTTCCCCGTGTCGAAGGCATGGGGAGAGATGAACCATGTGTGTATGGCAAACAGATCAGCGTCCACATCAGGGTGAGAGATCCACCAGACAGGACTGCTCCTGGCTTTGCATTCTGGCAAAAGAGCTGGGTTTGTGACACCCTATTACACTGCATCACTAAGACATCTATTTTGGGACAGTGTAAGGTTGTTAATGTCCCCCTCCAAAGCAGCAAGGGTGTGCTTGCATCAAATACCAACATTATTCTAATTATTATTAATGAAGACCAAGGGTGCTTTTTACACACAAGAGGCTTTCGATTTGTGTTTATTCACATGACATTCTTTCAGTCTTACCATTGACTGAAACGCTGAAACTGCTAATCATGAAAAAAGTCCAGATGCTTTTCACCAAACATCACAGCCACAGAGGTCTGGCCTCCGGGACACAGTTTACAGCCAATGCTGAACACGAACACTCCCAGAGTCCGTTTAAAATGCATTTCCATCCTATCCTTTCCAGTTTAGCCTAGAAGGGACTTTGTACAGTTGGGGATTTATTTTTGCCAGCAGTCACACTAGGCATGCAGACAGATATTCTTTTTGACAGAATGTAGGTGTACTGTATGTGGTAGATACCAATCATAATTTTAAAAATGTACATAGTACAATGTTTAAAACAACCTCAGGTAACAAGGAAAACAAATCTCCTAAAACTCAGAGGTTAGGTCAATGAATACTTTTCATACAAGAGTTGCACTGAAGACTTGAGACTTGAGATGAAGTAATTTACTACTCTTAATTACTGTTTAAAGTTGAAACATATATTTTTGTTAATGAGATTAATGCAAATCTGTTTCCTACTTTCCCTCAAGAGTGAGAACAGCAGAGGTACAGAATGGGGAAGAAAATTAAAGGTTAAAAACGAATAATTTCGTAGAGACTAAATGCATTCTGGAGTCACCATAGTTTTGTCGCAACTGCCCTTCACTAAATCTTCAACTTCTCCCAAAATGCTTTGCTGCTCTAATGTTCTTTTTCCCCTGCTGCTTCTCTTTGGTTTCCTAGCAACCACTTACTTTCACAGCACAGTCATCAAGAAAGACCAGAGAAAAAAGATGTCTCATCACACCTCAGGGCAGAACATTTTCACCCTTTTAGAACACATCGCAAAAAAAAAACACCTTTTCTTGGAAGAAAGACGGGCTTTTACGGAAAGTTTCTTTGAAAAGAATGGACACAAACACTGTGCCTGTGTTGACCTCAAAAGAGCTACGTTCTGTGCAATTCAGCCATGGTTCACAATCAAATATTCATGAGTGGCACTTGTTGTACGAATAGTGTGGGTTTCAAGTATCAGTATCCTAGAAGGTATTTTGTTTTAATATTTATCCTTTGTATGAAATGAGACAGAGTTTGCAAAAGAAACAGATAGCTGCTGAATTCACTTGTAGATGCTGTACTTCATCATTTTGACCTCCAAAGATACATAATAAAAACACAGCAACACAGTGGCCATATAAAATGTTAACTGGAATGTCTATCACTTACAGTAGCTACAGTAAGACTTGTGGTTTTATTAGAAATCAATTGCAATGTCCAACAAGCGACATTGGATTGCAGATACGGTCAGGGAGCTTGGAATTGTTTATAAGGCCAAAACTTAACCAACAAAATCCTCTGTGGAATTAATTTATTTAAGTTCAGACAAGGTAGAAAACTGCATGTCTCAACAAATCAAGACAACCTAGTGTGGCAGCCTAGCAGGAATCTGGGAAGGAGACGCAGCTGTCCTGAAGTTGTTGAAGCCTCTGTTGTTGGTAAATACGCTCACATGTGCTGCATTTGGTTGATTATTCATTGGTGAAGAGAGTCACATTCTCACATGGGTTGAACTAGATTTAGTTTGATATATACAAGGAGTCATGTGGAAGGTAGATTGAAGTTTTTTTTTTTGCTACAGTAAAGGTGCTTTCCATTGTGAATTTTTCAATGTGCATTAGACCTCATGTGACCACTGCTAAAAGGTGGGTTTGTCACACCCAGGCATGCACAAATAAGTGCCAATAACTGTTGGACGGAGTCTTTACCCAGCCACTCTCCCTAGTAATATATCTTCTGATATTAAGTCTGGTTGGAAGTGTAGACCAGCCAAAAACAAAACTAATATTGAATGTTCCTGTCAGGCAAACTGTGACAGGTCAAAGGGGTTCAAAACTTTAAATGCTTACTAGGACTATAAGTAATGTACTATTCCATTCCAATATAAATACAAGATGTTCAATGAACAAAAATGCATTTTTCATCATGCAGTTTACATATAA